TGTAATTGGTTGTTATCAGGTTAGATGTGCAGCAGGAACTTAATAAGCTTAAAAAGAAGAAGATGCATGTCACATCCTGAACCTATTCTAGAACACCTAAAAAGGGTCGGAGATTAAAAAAGGTGTTCTGGCAAAAGCTTGTTGAGTAAGGCACGTGAATGGAACAAGGCCAGGTTGGTTCTTAAAAGAAACAACCAATACAAAGGTATGTATTGTCTTTAAGGAACTTGTTGCGTGTGTAGCTAGACTTGAAGCAAATTGAATAATATTTGTTCTTGCTGTTTATATGGGATTAGAGTTGTACCACATGGATGTCATGTATGTCTTGATATGAATTTTTGTAGACGTCTATGTGGAACATACTCTAGGATAGAATCCTATCCAAGTTCCTTCTTGAAAATTGAGTTTTAAAAGTATCAATTTTTGTTTTCAAGATTAACTGAGTTATTATTAGTACTTGTTTACATTGATATATCTCTGGTACTACTAACGAGCCATTGTGAATTGGTTTTTGCTAATTTATGATAAGAAAATATATTTGTAAGATTAACCACTGACAATGGAACTTGAGTTAGAAGTGGAAGTTCATATTAGATTCGAGATCATCAAGGAACATAACAACCACTTCAAGAACTCCAAGGTAAGCCATCATACTCAACCAATGCTTTAAAGTTATATTTTTACTGGTAAGAGACTACATAAGATATAAGTTCCTTTTCACATGTCGGCATTAGATGAATTGAATTGATATTTTTTTGGTATGAATGCAATATGTGAATTTGTGAATTGATTCTCTTATGGTCTTGTCTTGATTTGTCATATTCTTGTTTATTGCTTAATGGAACAAGACTTGATGAAACATAACACGAGTATAAAGTATTTTTTCCCATAAGTTATGTCAAGCTGGGGTTCCTATGTTATACTTAAAGTAAAGAATATGCGCTTATTTTTTATGTGTCACACTTAGTTCTTGTGTTGTAAAAGACATACTCACTTGCCTAAGAGTATTAGAGGTCTCATAATAGAACTATGGGTGCTGTCAAACACGAAGTTCCTAAGTTGTCAAAGGAACAATGGAAGAAACTTTGATGGAACAAGACAGGTAAGTTCCCAGACCGTTTGTAACTCACTTGTTTAAATTTCAGAGGGAACTAACCTATCTTTTAGCCAACTTTCAAGCATCTACGCCATATATCTTCGATCGCAACATTATTCTACAACTCTAAGTTGTGTGTCCGTGTTGCATATACTTTAATTGTCCCATATTTAGAAAATCGAAGATTCTTATTAACCCAATTCAATTTCCTCTTTCCGTTCACACACTTTTACTTTTTATTCTTAATTCCCATGTGCTCTAAGTTTGTTCACCATCTTTTTATGGTTCAATGAAACGTGAAAAAGGGTGATTACATGTTGAGGGGGAAGTTGAAGAAAAAGAAAGAAGTAAGTACTTGAAAAGGAAGAAGAATGGTAAGGGACTCAGGGGGAATAAGGTAGGAACCAAGAATTCAAAATGGTTCAGATCTGGTTGTGGAACTCAAGTGTATGAGTAAATATTCTCTTCATTAATTTAAAATGTGTTATACTAGGAAATCATGCAAAATTTGTGTAATGACACCCTTTGAAAAAAAAAAAAGAGAAAGAAAAGGAAAAAGGGTGGTCAAATATTTAATTTCCTGGGTATCTATATATGAAGAATGTTGACTATGTTGATGTCGTGTACTCGTATACTTGGTGAGCTAGTGAAGGAACAATAATAAACGACGAAGGAACTTGATTATGATGAAACTGAAATCTATTTAAGTTCCAGTATGGAGAATGTTCCTCAAAGAAGTTGGTGGTTAAGGTAAGGGAACTTGGTTATCAATTGGCAAGATGAATATGTGTTGTGTTCAATAGGAGATTCAAGAGTTTGAGATAAAGTACAATGTGGCGGTTCTCATCTCAAAAGGTTTAAACGAAGAGCACAAATTCCACTTCACGTTCCCTCTACTTATTTTGTTCCATATGCTTCTTTATATATCCTTTAAGCTTGCGCTTTAATTGGTCTATTCATGCAATCCATTTCTAACTTTTTAGCTCTGATCTTTACTTGAATTTTAACTTCTTATTTGTCAAGTTCAATTAAGGGTTTTGAAGTTGGGCCTTTGGATTGTGAGTTGGAAGTTAGTGTGGAAATGGTATCCGTGTTTGAAAAGTGAGTACCTTGAGGCTTTTAGGAACAACAAGTGTTTAACTAGTATATACTTACTTATTATATGGTGGTAGGTGTGACATATGACTTTAAGTGCATATAATTTACGAAAAACAAACGTGTGGAACAATACCCTTTTTGATAATGACAAAAGGGGGAAGAATATGTATGATGCTTATGGTATGCAGTAATTAAGTCTAAAGTTATTACATCATGATTGTTGAAAGTATTTATATATTGATAAATGATGTGTATTGCTAAGTTCCTAACTATTAAGTTCTTGTGTATGTTCTTAACTTGTTTAAATGTTATTTCCTTGAAAAACTAAGGGGGAATAAATGTACAACGATTATCCTTTAATATGTGATGAGCATCAATAGTTTGTCATCATCAAAAAGGGGGAAATTGTTGAGCAATTAGGTTTTGATGATTATAAACTAATGATGATTATCTATCTAACGTGTATGTTAAGTTGTGCATAGAAAAAGCAAATTATGCTTGGAACAGGATACAAGGAACCTGAGTAATGACAGGTATATATGTAAGGAACTTGAGCAATATAGGATAAGCAATAGAGGAACAAGAACAACGATAAGTGTTATGGTTGATAAGCATGATGATGGCTAAGGGACCATGAAGGTAACTATGTAAACATGTGTTTACATATGTTAGCTTCATAAGGTAAGTATCCTATACATATATAGGTTATGTATGTGTAGGAGTCTTTTAATTTAGTTTAGTTTTCTTTATTGTTTTTATAAATAAAAAACTAACCTTCTGTTTTACTTTGTTATTCTCAGAAGTTTGCTCAGTTCGTCATCATCAAAAAGGGACAACTTGTTGATCCTTATGAGGTTTTGATGATGATGTTAAGAATTGAGCAAACTTCCATTTAATAAGGATTTTCTAGTGTTGTGATGTTTGCAGGTTCAGTAAGCGTTGAGGGCTGAAGTAGGAATTGAAACAGAGGAACTTTAGAGGATCCATGAGGATACAAGTAAATTTAGAAGAAGAGTTCCAGAAATGGAACTTCCAGAAGTTTCTTAACAGGAACTTCAAAACGGGTTGTAACGACCTGGTTTCGGTGTAATGCTGGGGAAAACCCTAAGATCCAGAATATATCAAGACTACAGGATTCCAGAACAAGAGTTTCAGAGAAGCAACATGAAGACAGAGAAATAGAAGTATATTGCTCTAGGATTCATGTAAGTATGTTGGACATAAAAGTCGGTCTGGAACAAGTCTATATAGAACCAAGGTGAATTCCAAACAGTCAATGAAATTAGAGTAACTGACTTGTCAGGAACTCAGAGACTGTCAGAGTTCAGGAACCTAATAGGAACTTAAGTATGAACGTCGTTAAAAGTCGGTTTTAATGATATATATATTTACCTTATACGTGCATATCTTTTAGGGATTTGGTTTTACTGAATAAAGATATTTATCTTCTAATAAATCCCTTTTGGAAAAAGATAAGATTGTTTAAAAAGTATTTTAAACAAAAAGATAAGTTTTGAATAAAATCTGATTTTATGCTAAGTTTATCTTATTATTATTGACAGTTTTTATTCTTAACAAAAAGGTATATTTTCGGAAAACTGATTTTTAGAAAATATCTTTTAAACTTATCTTTTCAGAAAATCTATCTTTTTCAAGATGAAATGAATAATTCGAGTGTACTATAAATATGCTCATATGCATTCATTCAAAGTTGAGGCTGACGAAGTGTAGTGGTCGTGCTTAATGGTTTTGTCCTTCACCACGAAGCTAAGTCAGTCCTCCTGGTCAAAGTTCCTATCAGGTTTTGGTTACAGTACGTCCAGTGAGTTCCAGACAGGTCTCGAGTGTCCAACATATTAGTTTTATCTCTTTATTCATAGATATGTATTTAGGGATATTCAATGAGATCTTGTAATGGGAAAAAGGGTTTTGAGTGTTTTGTATTTTGGGGTGAGATTGTGAATTATCTTAAATTCACGCTTGTGTATGAGTTTGAAATCTCGTAAAATTCGAGTGGTAGTTAGTCACCCTGAGTGGGTGTGTCTTGGATTGCACAGTGAGTGAAAGGAACCTGAGAGGTGTCTTGGGTCACCTAGGAAGTGTCCTGGGTAAAGGGAGAAAAAGGGTCCTGAGAGGTGTCTTAGGTCTGGTAGGAGGTGTCCTATCATATAGTCAAGTGTCCGTGGTGGAACTTTCAAAGCAAAGGTCAGTGTAATAGGTTGTACTAGGAGAGTTGCCTATTATAGTGGAATTTGTTTATAAGTCCCAATAGGGCCGAGGTTTTACTTCCAGTTAGGCACTGGATGGTTTCCTCGTAAAACTTGTTGTGTGCTTTAAGTTCCTTTACGTTTTGTTTTTAATTTCCGCATAAGTTCCGCGAAAAGTAGGCACTAGGAACATACTACAATTCACCCCCCCTCTTGTAGTATATCATCCGAAATAACACTTCCATTTTCATCTCACCTTATCTTAAACAACGAAAACACGCTCCACCTAAGAACATCAACTCTCATTATTGAGTAGACAACACTTGTAAATCATATCTAATCTAAGCTACCCCATCCAAATTTCCTTTGTGTATTCATAATCACCTTGATCTCTAAAAGTGATGAGATGACCGATTTTTTTTAATCTATGTTATTTGAACTCTTTGTTTCACTCAAGCACTTTAATCCATTTATGAAAACTTGACTCTTAATCATGTAAACTTTTGTATAAAATAAACAAGTTCGACCCTTGAACACATACCTGCATTAGTCCGCTTAACATAGAATCTTGAAATTAATATTTTGATCTCTTCTATCAGGGCAGCTGGTGATTGGAGTACCACCTATGCACCCTCTCCTTTCTATATGACATCAAAGATGAGGTCTCTTTACTTAGAAGGGTACGATCACACCATATTCGACTTAACTATGCAAGATAGAGTTCAGATTCAGGTAAAGCATCCTATATAATTTACTAGGTACAAGTGTACAACCTTTTCAGAATATGAACAAATCGAAAAGTTAGGATAGTCATACCCTTCTGAATGTTAACACTGGCTGTATAGGTACATGGAAACTCGGTTGCAGGAGCAATATTGCACGGAAACTCACCTACTGAGATCATTGAAACATTCACTGAATCTATAGGAAGACCTCCTGAACTTCCTCATTGGATTATATCAGGGGCTGTTGTTGGAATGCAGGGAGGCACCGGGACTGTCCGCAATACTTGGGACATTCTTAAGACTTATGATGTTCCCATTTCTTCATTCTGGCTGCAGGTAATTTCAAATGCATATATATATCCCGGATACACTTCATTTTATAGTCCTTGCCCTGCTCGGCCTGGCCTGTGTTTACCGGGGATTGAAAGGGCAGTTACCTCAGCTTGGCCCATGATCAGCCCTACAAAAATAAATGAACATGAGAAAGTTGTGCCATGACAAACTTTGTTTGAAATCTTAGAAACTTGTGTCATTACTAATGAATTTTTTATCAACATTGCGAATGTTGCTTATGTACCTTGATGCATAATAATAATGACAAGAAATGAAATTCTGAAACTACAGGATTGGGTTGGACAAAGAGAAACACTAGTAGGATCACAACTATGGTGGAATTGGGAAGTAGACACAACGCGGTATAAAGGATGGCAGCAACTTGTTAAAGATCTAAACAATCAGCACATCAAAGTCATGAGTTATTGCAACCCTTGTTTAGCACCAGTAAGTAGTTTGCTCATTAGTTTATCCTATACATTTGCTATTTTCTGGAGCACAAGTTCCTAGTTGATATGCATCAAACACCCGCGTGTTGGGTGCACCTGTCTTCCCCATGATCACTCGAGTTCTGTCAATTGCTTATTTAATATGATTAATGATTGGTTACATGACGTTCTTACCAGACTGATGAGAAGCCAAACAGGAGAAGAAACATGTTCGAAGAAGCAAAGAAGTTGGACATACTAGTGAAAGACAAGGATGGAGAGCCATACATGGTTCCTAACACGGCCTTTGATGTGGGGATGCTGGATTTAACGCACCCAGAAACTGCACCATGGTTCAAAAACATCCTACAAGAAATGGTAGATGACGGAGTTAGGGGTTGGATGGCTGATTTTGGTGAAGGCCTCCCTGTTGATGCAACCCTCTATTCAGGTACTTTACCATACTTCGAGTAATAAAGGGAAGGATGGACTTATATAACTCTTCTGCATCATCTGAAGTCTAAAATTACTGCTTTAAATAAAACACACTAACCTCGGATAAATCTGAATGCATTCATTGCTCAGGTGAAGATCCTATAGCTGCTCACAACAGATATCCAGAGTTATGGGCTCAGATAAACAGGGAGTTTGTCGACGAGTGGAAATCAAGTTGTTCAGGCAAGCAAAAGGAAGACCCTGAAGAGGCATTGGTGTTCTTCATGAGGGCCGGTTTCAGAGATAGTCCGAAATGGGCAATGCTGTTCTGGGAGGGAGATCAAATGGTCAGTTGGCAAGCAAATGATGGGATTAAAAGTGCTGTTGTCGGTCTGCTTAGCAGTGGAATTTCTGGTTATGCTCTTAACCACAGTGATATTGGAGGGTATTGTGCAGTAAACTTACCTCTAATCAAGTATCATAGAAGCGAGGAACTGCTGTTCAGATGGATGGAGTTTAGTGCTTTCACAACAGTATTCCGGACTCATGAGGTACGTTTGTTCTTCCAATCTTAACCTTTTCTTGAAACTAATTGAGCAGAAAGTATCAGTATTAGTCACTGTCAAATGAACATATTATATGCTATTTTCGACTGACATAATATTCAACAAACTTACCAACCTGTTACATTAATCTCATACAGGGAAACAAACCATCCTGCAACTCTCAATTCTACTCCAATCACAAAACATTATCACATTTCGCCCGCCTTGCAAAGGTGTACAAGGCCTGGAAATTCTACAGAATCCAACTTGTTAAGGTAACTACCTATATTAGCCAAAGACCAACTATTTTTAATCACCTACATATCATGTCATTCTCTGAACTGCTATTTGCTATAACAGGAAGCTTCAGAGAAGGGACTCCCTGTGTGCCGGCACTTATTTCTGCACTACCCTGAAGATGAATACGTGCAGACACTAACATACCAGCAGTTCCTAGTTGGATCAGAGATTCTGGTGGCACCTGTACTAGACAAAGGCAAAAGAGAAGCAAAGGTTTATTTTCCCTTAGAAAATAAAGAAAGTTGTTCTTGGATTCATATTTGGACAGGAAAAGTGTACAACTGCTTGGGTACTGAAGCTAAGATAGATGCTCCTTTAGGTTATCCAGCAGTATTTGTCAAGTCTGGATCTTTTATTGCTCAAACTTTCCTTCAAAATTTGAGGGATTTAGATATTCTATGATACTAGTCTTATATGTAAATTTTTTTATCAACTGTAACAAGTGTATAAAAAAAGGAAAATGATAAACATAGCCCTTAGGGTTATATATAAGGAGCTAAAGAAGGAAATATTAAGGATAGATTTACATTAATCACACCGATTTGCGTGTAATTTTGTCATGAATTTCCAACTTAATTCCATTTTAGAAAGTATATTTAATGCTTATATATAGCCCTAATTAAAGTATACAACTACGTGACCAATGTTCAATGTACACGGGTACTTGTCTAAGCATATGATGACCCGGCTATTTTTTTTCGAAAAAAAAAATAATATTTTGAACTAAAAATGTCAAAATGACCTAGTGTGAACCCATGTTCGAGTGTCGGGGGTTCAAGTAGGGTAATTGAGGCGAAATGAATAGTCCATTTAACAGAGATGTGAAGGAGCAAACATATACAGGCTCACACGCACACACACAATGACACAAACACTAAACAGAATTTAAGGTTTTTGATAGTTTTGAGCTACAAAGTCTACCATATAAATATGATCATTCAATACAACTAAAATGGAAAAGTTGATGACAAAAAAAACTATAATATGGAGCAATAAAACAAGTAAATATATAAATTAATGAAGTAAAAGACCAATAAGTATTATAAATTGAAATTGAATTTAGCAGATTGATTACCTGATTAAAAGAGGAAGAAGAGATTAGGGTGATGATTAGCTTAGTTCAGAAATTCTGAAACAAGGATAGTGCAGTTTTATCAAAGGGTGCTGTTTAACAATGTTTGTTCTGTAGTTAGTAAGATTCTAATGCTTTTGGCATATTCGCATTTTTTTCTCTCGTATATTCTCCCTCTTGTGCTTTTTATCTAATTGAATCCATTTTTTTTGCTATACATGTATTTACACAAATTAAAACAAAATCAGGTAAAGGGAAGGAATGGACCAAACCAGAAATTATAGAAAAAAAAAAATGGCTTAAATGTAGCTAGAGTTTTTTTTTTTTTTTTTTTAATACCAAATTGTCGTTAAGGGTTATTTTTATTACAAATGCTAATCAAAGTGCTAATACATGAGTTCAACTAAAATAACCAATATTACACTAATGCTATTTTACCTTCCCTGTTCCTAGTTTTTCATCATTTCAGCAAAAACAGCCAACACTACATTGATGCAAACGCAATTCAAATGTTCAGTCTATAATAATATTCCATTCTCAAGTACTGAAATTGGTATAAAAAAAGAAATTACTTAAATTCAAAAAAGAAATATTTCTATAATAACATTCCATTCTATAATAATAAAGATTTGAATATTATATTTCTTAAAAAAAAGAAAAAAAAAAGATTTGAATCTTATAATCGAGGGGTTATACTTGTGAATTCAAAAATTTCTTGTTTTACCGATTAATTCAAATTCAAATATTAAATCTTTAATCTCCAACGACCTATATCTATACGCCTATACCTATATATATATATATATATATATATATATATAGTAAATTCATGTTCATCAGGCTGATTTGCAAGAATTGTAAATTAGCGGGCAAAAATGTCTTTTCTCGAATAAAGTTAGGGGTATTTAAGTCATTACCACCAAGTTATTCAAATGAATTGGCAAACGATGTTCCAGCTCAGACGTGAACGTCAACGTTGTTCCAACTCAGACGTTAACGTCCGTCTGCTTGAAATCGTGGAGTAAATTTCTCAGAAACCCTAATTCAACCTTCTCTCCGAATCGGGAGTGCAGTAAAGTTATCAGAGATCCTTGAATTATGAGGGTAATCGACAGTAGTAGCTGAAACTGTAATTGAGGTAGTCCCAATTGGGTTTTGGCAGTGTTATAGGATTATCTGACATTCCGCTCCACCCTCAGTCCCCCCCAGTGAATCGTGGAGAACGAAATCAGGTTAGCTGATTGTAATTCGTAATAAATGTAATATTTGGCTTCAATTGAAGAGTGATTCATTTTAATTGGTATGTAGTTTGGATGGAATTGGTATTTGCGTTCTCATTGTTTTTTGTTTTAATTTTTCTACTTTAGATGGAATCGCAATTTGATTTCATAATGTGTCGTTTGTAGTGTATTTTAAATTGTAATTAAAGAAGATCGATTGTGTTTATGTAAGTATTGGGGTGGTGGACGAAATACGTCAAAAATTGGACAAGTATGGCTTCAATGAATTGCAAAATGCATCATCGTGTTTCTTTTCAATTGCTAATTTTGAAAACTTGGACTAGCCGGCAAAATGCATCGGGTTTGTTTTGAATTGCAAAATGAACCAGGTTTGTTTTAAATTGCAAATGCAACATTGATTGCTTATTCTGTAAGACCCATTTTTGTTTGTGTAAAGAACAATATATGTGATTTATTTTAGTTGATTTGTAGGTCTGCAATAACTGCAATTGGAATTGTTCCTGTCTTTTGTGTGGCCTTAACAACAATATGAATAAGTTAGTTGTTTTGATTTGATTTGTTCAATGCAAGGCTGCATTGAATTGCAAAATGCAGCGGGTAGTGTTATCAATTGTAAAATCCGAAAAATGTGACTAGATGCCAATATGAATTATCATTGCTTGTGTAGTGTTTAAGACCCATTTTTGTTTGTGTTAGATCAATAATTGTGATTTATTGCAGTTGTCGTGAATCTCTGCTTGTTGTATTAGTTAAATTCAGTTGGAAATTTTCATGCCTTTTTTGTGGGTATAAGAACAAATAGTTAGTGGTTTTGCTTTTTAAAAATGCAATATTTATAAGTTAAATCCATCCTGTTCAATGTTATATAATTTTTATTGGTGTTGATTTAGGGGAAACCATGCAACGGGAAGGTAGTAGCAAACATGTTTTTCAGGCAATGTTCAAGGTAATTATGTAACCACATACTTATCCTATCTGGGAACATTGATTGTTTGTGTGGCTTTTCTTCATTTTTGCTGATTTTTAATAATCAACATTTAGGACGATAGTTTGACTTGTGGTGGGCAAGTGAAAGCTAAAGGAGAAGTTCTGAAGGAGTTTTTTAAGGCGAGATCTAAGGTAATGTTTTATGTAAATTAAGTAAAGGTTTTTCCATATGTTGCATTTAAGTAAGCTTTAAACATTGCTTAATTATTTGTAACAGCCACCGAACACAAATTGTCGGGTGGAGAGTTTTGCTAGGATTTGTCAAACCTTTGACTCACGTAGGAGGCGTTGGGTAGCTGAAATGGGATTTGGAGGGCTGCTGTATTTGTCCGGTGACATGCATCTTCCCAGGCAGCTTGGGTACTGGCTAATGACCCGAATCGATCCGATCAGTAAGATGGTAATAACACCAGACGGAAGGTGCTTAAGGCTGTCTAAAAATCAAGTCAATTGGGTTCTTGGCATCCCTAATGGGCCAAAGGTACTTCCATCTTGCAAAACATTAAACAGACTACAGCGTGAAAAGGTTAGAAAAATACTAGGACAATATGGCACAACTCGAAAGAGCCATTCTCAGAATGGACAATCTACGGTTTACAATATTGTAGGAATTAGGGTGTACCCTAAGTTGCTGGAGAGGCTTGAGAGTATCTAGGAAGAGAACCAGGAGGAGGAATTTAAGACACTGTTCTTGTTGATTGCATTGGAAATGTTGTTGTGTCCTACTCTGTCACCTACATTGGCTCCTGATTTGGTACCTGCTCTGTCATGTGCTATGGTAGCCGCTGAATATGATTGGTGCACTCTGGTGCTATCTAAGTTGCTTTCTAGTGTCCGGTCCTTTGCTCGAAGATTTTATTCTTGCGGGAATGCTGGTGGATGTGGAGGCTGCATTTTGTTTGCTGTGGTACGATAAGTGTAATGTGTATGTCTTTGTTTGAGTGTGGTTTTTAATGGGAAAAGTATATTGATTTTGTTCTTTTGACAGATTTTTTACTTGGACCGGCTTGATAGGGAGGCTGTTCAATGGGGTGTTTTCCCTAGGTTGAAGGTGTGGACCATGAAAGAGATAACAATTGCTAGCAAGGAGGACAGATCACCAAATGGAGGTGATTATGGATGTTTAGGGGTATGTTATGTTGTTAATTTTCAACTTACATCTGCAGTTACTTTTTTTTAACTACGGTAATAATTGTAAGTATTCATTTGTTACATTTTTTGTGTTTTGTTTTTAGACTCTGGATGTTGCGTATGGGGAGGTTCACCCAAGGCAAGCTAGAGATACAAATGGACCGGGTGTTGTAAGTAATGTCGTTATCGAAGATGATATTGATTGCACATCTGGTCCTAAACGACGTAGAGGGGCGTCATCGTCTAAGTTGCCTCGCCAAGGGATTGAATTTACAGACGTAATAGAGAGTCGAAGTGGTGTTACAGTAGTTTCTGAAGGAGTGAAACCAACAGAAGGCAAAATAGAAGTTGGGTTTGTTGATTTGCCGTTTGTTGGTAATGTAGATAACTGTAGAAGGTAATGAATAATATATGGTCTATATGAATGGTTTATGCTTCATTACAGTAAGCCACCTCTTTTTGGTGTTTTCTGTAGGTTTCTATCTGTCGGATCCCTGTCCCTGCTAAGAAATATGATTTCATTGGTTAGATTAACCTTGGCTAATACACTCTGGTTTCAGGTATTTTCATATTGTTGTTTGCACTGACTATATTTATATGTTCAAATAAATTTTTTTCTTGACAGTTACTCAGAGGGTCTAACTGGTTCTTCATTCGAGATTGGCCACATTTGTTATCTCGTGCATTTGTGAGTCTAAGTCCATGCACATTTCATTAACAATTAAGTATTATTGTTTTTTGTTTGTTAAATTTGTTGATCTATTTATTCCATTGATTATGTTGTTGTGGGTAAAGTTATTTCCTTTGTGTCTGAATTTAATTAATTTTATTTTGTTTTAGCTTGAGGTAAAATCCTTTGATGCGGCATCAGATTACAATATTGTTATGCTCCCTTCACTGTCGGCATTCATTGGCAACCCTAGATGTCCAGTGTTAGTGGTTGTGTCAAAGGTGAGTATTGTATGTCGTGGTGTTAGAGTTTTTGTATAATGTGGTCATCGTTTATTCTTACAACTTTTTGGTTGTAGGTTCATCTCTCGGACAGAAGGTCCTCAAGCTGTGCTCCTGTTATGCACCGGATTTGTATTGCGCTAAAGACTATTGCGGGGTCTGAGATGATGTTGCTATCTGCTGATTCAATAACAAAGGACATTAACTTGGTTTAACAATCAATTACCTTTAGGACAATAATTATAAGTCCATAAATATGGCCAGATAGAATCCCGTAGGAACACAAATATGGCCCAACAAACATATGGCCTAATATTCAGATGGGGCAAAAGATGTTATGGGCCTTTTCGAATACTTTTCAGTTAATCCAAAGCTCCTTAATATTTTGAGTTATAGAATCCAGAATAATTTATAGGGCTATAAGGCCCATGCACTTCGATTACAACCTCGACCTTACATCATATTGCAAAATACAAAGGCGTTTTCATTCTCATCTACACATTAAGGTTGCTACAGGACATCAAGTAGTAAACTTTTACATTCAACTTTGACAAAAGATGACCTGCACTTAAATATAAAAGTATGTAGTGCTTTTGATATCAATTCAAAGATCGCCACATCTTTGAGTTGTTAAAGCTATCAATTAACTCCAGACTGTTTTCCTTCCTGAAAACCACAATAGCATAAGGAAATATTCCATGGCTAATCACACGGGCCATGTGTATTGAAACTCTTGTTTCGGTTAAGACAACCACGTCTGTCATATTTAATTCCACCATGGTATGGAATTCTTGCACAAATGTATTTTTGGCCATGCTTTTGCAGTTCCACACCACCCACTTATTGCGGCCTTGTATCGATCCTGCTTTAACATCAGCATTGCTCTCTACACTCAAATTAATTTTGATTTTTTTTTTCCGTCTAATATCTCACTATTGTGTAAAATTGAAGAAATAGACATTTGTTTAATCTTACAACATTTGGGTGTTAAAAATAAGTGGTTGTAGTCATTGTAACTGTTGAAGTGAATGGAATTAGTTCCCTTTGTAAGAATGTGCGTCTGAATTGTTGGGGTAGCAGAAGCAGCGAGTAAACTGGTAATGCTTTCTGGGATGATTTTTTCACATCCAATACCACCCTCACCCCCATGGTTCGCAACTTTTAAAGTTGCAGGTAAAAGAGCAAGATCTGACAACTCTGGTAAATATCCCGGATTCACTTGGTTATTATGGTGAATAACCACAATATCACCCCCAAATTGACCACCTTGGGAGACAGTGGTCGCAGCTGATTTTGCATCTACAAGCTTGATTGGAACTTCCCCCTTACTGTTTAAAACACAACTTTTTACCATTGTAAGGAGACCTTTAGGTTGGGTTGAACTTGTGGCGCTGAACCTCTTCCTCTTCATTTTTGGTTGGATATATTTTAGGGGTTTAATGATGGTAGCTGGTATAAGTATTTCTTTTGTTTTTTTTTTTTTTTTTTTTTTTTTAAGTTTTTCGTTGGGAGTCATGGTGTTTTTAGTAGAGTTGATTAGGTGCTGTTAGTTCCAGGTGTTGTTGCCCACCTTTTGTAGCTAACTATGCAATAAATAATCCGCCAAAATGCCAAATGTTGGCGGGAAAATTTGGAGCCATTTTCTAGCAACAAAAAATATTTTAAGTAGTTCACTTTTAAATTTTTGAACTGGACGAGGAGGAAGAACTAACAGACGAGTACCTACTTTTAAATTTAGGAATATTTAAATTGTTCATTATTAATATAACTATCTTTGTACGTTGGAAAACCATAATTAATAAAACGAAGATGAAATGTATTGAAACTTACAATAGCGTAAGTTCCATCCTATATAATTTTATTATGTAATTTTATTCATCAGAGTTATATTATTAATCTAATACAAACTGTGATTATTTAACCCAAAAATAACAAACTAAGTACCATCACATCATTTGTAATACAATTCCCAAATTATGATGATTTACCTTATTAAAAACATACGTAGTCTGGAGAGTTGTTAACCTCACATTAGTTTTACTAGAATTTTAATTTTTTTGCGAAAAGATTTTTAGTGTTACGGGATTGTAGTTAATCATATAGTTGTTATTATTTGATAGCCAATTCAAGTTTCTTAATTACTGGAAACTACTGATATGATATACTGATTAATATCATCAAATGGCTGTCCTGTTGTTGAAATATTTATAATATCCACTAGTTTTGGGCCTACAAAAAATCATTTTTGTAATAGTTGAAATACACATTGTTAAGTACTTTCTCCGTTCTATTAATATTGCAACAATGAGAAAATTACGCACCCCAAAACACAATTTATATGCTAAATATATATAATTGTGAAAGAGTAAAAATTATTAAAAGTTGATATTGTGAAAGTATTTTATGAGACGAATCCAATAAGATCCCACATGACTATATTTTGCTTATCCTAGTTAAATCTATATTATATGGTCAAACAAGAGTGATGAATAGTGTAAAAAGTCCATTGTTGCAATATTAATAGAACAGAGGAAGTATTCTTTGCGTGTTTTTTCAGTCTCTGGTTAACTTAAAATTCCATTAAGTTATTCCTAATAATTTTAAACATTTAAATCTAATTCATTTCACTTACTCTATCAACTGCATTTAATATTATATTAAATGAAGTTATTCATCCTTCAACCCAAAATTTATTTGGTATGTAAATATTTTTTTTTATTTAGTTCTTTTGTTTACCCAATTTTGCTTTGTTGTTGCTTATTTATTTTTTTTATAAAATTAAAACAATTAAAGCCTAAACATTATATTATCTAATTCCTCGATATATTCAATGTTCCATTTTCATTTTAATAATCCCAAAAATAAAATTAAACTAGAACTATTAATTATCTTTTCATGTTGTACTTATACAGTAAAATTGTAGAGGTTTAGCAACCTGAAGAAATACATTTGCTTAAGAAATAAAGATCAACTTTTCCGTAAGAACACAATGTTACACATCTTACATATTAACTGAAAATTTGTAAGTCCTATCCGCATAAATTACTTCCGCAAATACCACTAATTGTAGGACTTACATATTACATGAAAATTTAAAAGTCCCACTACTTATACTTATACTAATAGCAATTATAAAACGAGCATTTCACATAATGACTTACAAGTGAATGTTAGTAATTTGGTAACACCTTTCATGGAACTTATTAATAATCTAATGAAAAGCAAAACCAACCCACTTCATAGACCTTTTACCCCTTCACAACAGCACCCAACCATAACCATCATCACTCTTTGATGGCCTCGAGCTTTTTTGGGCAAAGAAATTTCAGGTTCGGCGGACTTGTTTGTTTCCCCTGCCAATACGAAAATTTTTATAAGTACTTTTCCATCGTTAATAACTAACTTAAAGTATTACATAAGCGTTACCTGTAACACAACATCAGTCAATGCATAATGAGAGAACATGGGATTTTCCACCATCTTGATGAATTCCTCCTTGTAGAGAATAGTCATTACTTGTGTGTACTCTGAAGTTAACGGGCAGCTGAGAAGTTACTTCTCTAACATTTTCATCGAAATGTCTTGTTTCTAAGAGTACAACAACCGATGGATTAACTGCACCATACATTAAATTAAAATTTTCTAAAAAGGAATCCCTCCCAACAAACTATTCTAGTGTCTTTGGGTATATTCTCTAAATGAGGAACCCAATTTGGGCACACAACTGGATCAAAGGATACAACATGGAATGGCCCTCTCTTTGTAGATTTTGTAGCCCTATAAATTTTCACCATAATCAAACACTCAAACAAGGGAACATCAATCACCTGGAAGGCATCGGTGAATGTTCCCATGCAGAGGTAGACTGGCTTTGGATCGATCAGGTGTTGTAAATTTTGAGGGATCATGCTCTGGTATTCCAAGTACCACTTGATGATTGCTTTTGCTTCATCAGGTAAAGCGTAACAATCGTAAAAGCTGGGGATGTGGGCTGGTTTAGTCACCGTTCGAAGGTGGTTAGGCCGCATCTTTAGAGTGGAGTATTGAGGGTTGAAAACATTTGGGTTTAGGATCATCTGGGCTATAGTTTGTCTGTACACAAACTCGGGATTGTTGGCCTCATCATGACAAAGGTAAATCATGCAATTGAAATCGGGCTCGGTTTGGGTAGCTTCGGGTGGGTTGAAATATAGGAAGCAACGGTTAAAATTCTTGGTGTAGGCAATTCTAGGGATAGGCATGGTGGTGATAAGATGACTACCTTGTGAATTGGATAGGATCAAATGGCGTTTGGTTAAAGGGGTGAAGGGTGGGGAGTGCTTGTGGTTGATATTCATATATATAAAACAAGTAGTGACTATGGTGGTACTATTAGAGGTGTCAAAACCGAACCGGCCCGAAAAAAATTATCCGTTTCGAATCTAACCGATCCGATTTGATCCGAGAAATTCAAGAATCAAACCCGATCCGTAACTGAATAGAACACAACCCGAATCCGAACTTGACCCGTTATGAACTTAATCGGCACCGATTTGATCCTACCTAAACTCAACCCGATTCCAATTTGATCCGACATGAACTCAAACTGAACCGATTAGACCCGTCCCAAAGTCAATCCGATCCATAATTTACCCGAAAAAGGACATAGTTTTTTGTATTTATCACCATATGTAACTATTATTTGTCAATATATCACTAGCTCGGTATGACTTCTCACTTATATAGGTATGAAAAGTCATCGATAATTATTCAATCTCATTTTTCTCGAAAGATAAAAATTACACATAACTTGATCATATGAGAAATCTAAAACTTCGTGCTTCGTAATTAATAATCATATTGACTCAATAATAAGGTATAAACTAAACAATATCTCTAGTTTAAAAATAACCTTATTTGGATATGAATTTGGTCAACTCGACCAAAATCTAGCCAAACACAAACAGGAATTAAACCGAAATTGACCGAACCGAAATCATACGGCTAAACCCGTTTTAAACCCGATCCAAATATATCTGAACATAAAGTGAATCGATCTGAAGTTGACCCGACCCGTATCCGATCTGGACTCGATAGACCGACACTCGTATTTGACCAGACCCGAATTTGACCTGAGCCGAATCGATCCGAGTTAAAAGGATAATTTTGATCCGAACATTTCCGACCCGAACAGACCCAACCCGAATAGACCCGATCCAAACTCCATCCGGTTATACGAATTGACACCTATAGGTACTATTGTTGGGGTTTGGTGAGTCTGACTCACCGCGGAAACAAACCCAAAAACAAGACCGCACTCGCAATAAATAAAGCCATAAACATAATTTAATTAATCACAAGATTAAGATAAGCTACACTAGTAGAAAAAGGCTTATTTGCGTCGCTCATTTATAGTGTATTTGCGTCGCTTCTATGAGCGACGCAACTGCTCGCGACGCAAATGAATTTTAAGTCATTTGCGTCGCGCCTAGAATAAGAGTCATTTGCGTCGCTCCTTTATAAAAGAGCGACACAAATGACTTTTTTGATAAACTTATTTTTTGTCATTTGCGTCGCTTCTTTATAAATAAGCGACGCAAATGACTCTTCTGACAAACTTATTTTTTGTTATTTGCATCACTCTTTTATAAAGGAGCGACGCAAATAACTCTTCAGATAAACTTATTTTTTGTTATTTGCGTTACTCCTTTATAAAAGAGCGGCGCAAATGACTTTTCTGATAAACTTATTTTTAGTCATTTGCGTCGTCCCTTTATAAACAAGCGACGCAAATGACTCTTCAGATAAACTTTTTTTGTTATTTGCGTCGCTCCTTTATAAACAAGCGACGCAAATGACTCTTCCAATAAAATTATTTTTTGTTATTTGCGTCACTTGTTTATATAGGAGTGACGCAAATGACTGAATAGACAATACAAAACTGCTGTATTTGCGTCACTTGTTTGTTTAATGAGTGACACAAATGAGGTGAATTTTTTTTTTTTAATTATAATATAATAATTGCCTTGTATATGTTTGTAGTACCTGTTTTCCTAGGTATAAAGTAATATGCTAACGCTAATATAATTGAAATTAAAATGCAATATTATTGAATAATGCAAATGTAAATTTCGCCAGAGTCTCCTTTGTAATTTGGCCTACCCATAAAATTGGGAATGACGACATTATATTAACAACCTGTCCAATAATTTACATCTCAATATCTTAGACATTATACTCATCATCCCAACACCAATTAACCAAATTACTTCATTTCAAGCCTATAATCCAAAACAAGAGTCAAACATGCGCTAAGTGGTAAATCTAAAGTTCAACATTACATATAAAATACTCTGCCCAAATATCTCGGATCTCATTTATCTCCTCCTCGGTGTACGGTGTAGTTCTTGAAAAATCCTATCAACACAACGAATATACAAGAGGCAAGTTTTAATTCAAGATTGTAGCTAACATCAAATTGTATTTATCAAACAAAAATGAAATATTTGACAACTCATACCTGAATAAGATCTTCACTGCTATGGTGATGTTCAAGTATTTCGTACATATAACGCATGACGTAGTAGCCACACTCACGTCCACCCAATTGTTGAGGACACTACATGTAATATATTTGTAAGTTGAATTAAATTGCTATACTTCAATTATTAAGAAACTAAAAGTTAGGGTAAGAAATTAAGGTAACCTGTCCCAAATGCCATGTCAATTTACTTCCCCTAGATTTTTCACTTAATGCCTTAAAACTTCGAAAAGCACTAGACATTTGAAACAAATAACATATATATTACCCTTACACACATAAAATCATGACATTAATAACAAACTAGACTTACTTTGTCATTGCAAACTTAATTGCTAAATTTCGCTTCTGCCTCAAAGAATCAAAGATGATGACTTCACGCTTAGCCATGCATAAGACCAAAAGAACCCAATGATTCCTACATAATAAATTAGACACACATTTGTAAAAGAGTAAAATAATATCAACAATTTGCAAAGTTCAAATAAATACAAGTTCAAAGTTTATACTTTTCATGGTATGGGCATAAGATGAACTGCTTAGATTTTTGTTTTTCCATCACATGTGTCATGTATAGTAGGATACGATCAGCATCACTATGCAAATAGGTTTCTGAAATCATTTCCGGACACATGAATCCAATGGAAGCCACTTCCTCCGTATCGAGTAAGTCACTCAAGGCCCTACATAAATATCATGTAATAACATTATAAATGGTAATAAATAAGTATATGGGAAGAGTGAAATTTGAATATCTTACATCATAAAAACTTGCAAAACTGAAATATTCAGCCAAGCTCCTGTGAGAAGTTGATTGACATCTTCACGTTTGATAATGATGTCCTTACTGTCTTCATAACTAAAGGTCCAAGCATCAGCCTTAACCTTAATAGTTTCACCTTCGGGTAATGAAGATAACAAACTATTGGATACCTGTATGTTTGCAAATGGATCATCACCCACTGATTGGCAACTACTAGGATTTTGTTGAGTCGTCCGGCCTATGTTATTCATTTCTATCATTTCAGTTGGAATTTGAATACCAATCTGTTTAGCAAATAACATAAACTTCTCTTGAACCATGGAATCCATTTTAGAATCCATCTCCTGCATAGTCTCCTCTCGTACCCTCCGGGCTACTCTTGCCTCTAATTCTTCCAGCTCATCATCTCCGAATTCCCTACCGCGTCGGCCACTACGCCTCTCTCCGGATCCCCATACAGCTTTAATGCCAATTCCACTGCCAAATGCTATTGCCCGACCATTACGATCTTTTTTCCCAAGGGCACGAGATAAGATATCATCATGCCTATTAGGAACAAAGTTTCCTTCAGCTTGTTGCTTTCTCAATTATCCTACACAATGACTTCAAGTTAGAAAACTTTGGTTGCAATACATAAACTTAACAAAATATATTCAAAATTGAAATAAAGACTTATTACATACTTACAATGGATTCTTTCACCTCTCTTGTTTTCTCATCCGGCAAATAAGGATTTCTCTTATCATCTTCTATTGATCTTGCTAGAAGCCAAGCATATGTCCTATCCGGCAAACTAGACACAACCGAAGAACAAGATGAAGTACTGGATGCTGAAGATGCCGTGGGAATATACCCTTTTCTACGCCATACAATATTCTTGAATGTCCTAACCCACTAATAACTACTTGTAAAGTTTGGTTCTAAAGAAAATCCGGCAGCATTTCCCTATAGTTCTCCAAGCACACAATGTAGATAATCGGCTATCAACATATGTACCCAGAGAACAATCGGGAAATAGTGAGCCATGATCTTCTTAGATCCAAAACCATTCAAGTAGTTATCACCTAAATGAGATAGAACATTCAAGAACAGTCCCAAACCGGGGACTATTCAAGACTTACTCCTAATGAGTAAGCCCTGAACGGGTATCTAAGTCAATGATGCAAGTATTATTGCAATTCCAATCAATTATATCACAATTAAAAATCTCATACAATTCACAATCATTATACCAACCAGAACAAATAAGTTAATATTGCAAAGAATGGTTCAGATATATATACCACAAGTGAAGACAATCTCGTATGCGTACTACCGCCTTAATCGTTTTTCCACAACCAGAACCTCGAGCAACTTGTGGAATTCACTTCCGCATAATTAAGAATCTGCCATAAAAAATTACATATATTAAACCAACATAGTTGCGTGTGTGCTCGTGATCCTAAATCTCATAGAACAAGAGTGAGCACGAGAGAAATAGCCAAAGTTTGCAAAATTACCAAGCAGAGACACAATTATGAATCATGTAAGAATAGCCAAAGTTTGCAAATAAAGCTTACTCAGCACACTCATTAATCTTCCCCGAATTCTGGCTTTCCACAATCTTCAGAATCAAAGACTTGTTTTCATCCAAGTACTGCCAAGATTCAAACCAACCAAAATTTAGAAATCAATAAGAAAAAAATATTTCCAGATGAGAACTAACCAAGCAGTATATATAGATGAAGCGGCTAATAGACTAGAATCATAAGTGAATTAATGTAACAAAGGATGAATATGTCATGCATAACCAAAGTGTATTACAGTACATATCAATTTTTACTTAAGCGTAAGGATCAAATGATCTGCAATTAGCAATGTTTTAGAATCTACCCCGGTAGCCCTAGACTAAGATAAAAAGCAATGCATACAACACCATTCCCTTATATAATTTCATATGTATTAATTGTTTTATCAATGATCATTTGATTCACAATAACTTCCTTTTATTCAACCATTTACAAGGGAACATACGGATTCTCCATTTTAATGAATCGGAGATGACAATTGTTCATGCTTGAGACTTACAAAAAAAAAATTGAAAATAATAATAATAATAATAATAATAATAATAATAATAACAATAATAATAATTCTGGGTTTTTTCCTCCAGATTTAGGCCTTCAAAAGTAGCTTAACAGATAAGAAAACTTGATACTAGGTTTAAAAACAAGTTAAAAACCATCATCACTAAAAACAACTAGTTAAAAAGTATATTTACACTATTTTTCATTATTAGCCAAATAGTCATAACATTAGTTGAGTAAGAAATATTGACATTGCCTCCTTTTCAATAAAGGTTTAAACTAAATTTCTAATACCAGCAAAACAAAAAGGTCTTACAGAACTGATGAATATGTGAAGACCATTACAGGAGCCCACACCTAAAGCTTCATTACAGTAAATTTTAAGTTTGCTACACTTCAATGATTACACTGACATTTTATACTTCCATTTATATTTATATTTATATTTATATTTATATTTTCATGTTAATTCTTGAATTGCTTGTTGTGGTCCAAGTTCAGAAAAGGTTCAATTTCCAACTGCCGGAAAAGTTAAGTTTGGACCAAAAGGCAGATCTTAGGCCAGGGGTTGAACCATGCTCTTAAGGTATGTTGAACAGCATGCCAGCAATAATCAAGCTGCATGACAGTATGTATGATGGATATCGACTTTTCGATGCTTACAAATGCGAGCACGTAAACCTTAATCATCTGTTAGGCTAATTACAACTAAGATAGACATAACAATGTATCGCTCGACTGAAGTGCTCGTTCAGCATGCTTCAATGAATAAACCCCAGATTATAATGGACTTTTTAGTTGCAATTAAGGCAGTAATAACTTAAATCATCAAGTAATGTACATTTGTACTAGACTAGAATAGATTAAGGCAGTAATAACTTAAATCAAAGTTTGCAAAATTACCAAGCAGAAACACAATAATTATGAATCATGTAAGAATAGCCAAAGTTTGCAAATTAAGCTTACTCAGCACACTCATTAATCTTCCCGGAATTCGAAGCCTTAAACCAAGAAAAGATTGAACATAAATAGAAGTAATCTTACCATAGGTGGAATTGACTTCAAAAATTCAACAATGTCGAGCTGAAATCGAACTTCAATTGTTGTTGCTGTAATTTGCTTGAACTTCCTCGGGTTTTTTGGGGCGAAATTAAGCGATTTTTCCACTCAAAAATTTCAGTTATTGCTCGAATTTTTGTTGCTGTAATTTCTTGACTTGAACCCAGAAAAAGACGTAATTCAAACAATTATTGTTGCTGTAATTTCTTGACTTAACCTATTGTTGTTGTAATTTCTTGACTGAAATTCGAACAAAAATTATTAATGACTGAAATGGGACGAATTTCTTAGGGTATATTGCGTCGCTGCCAAAAACCCTAGAAATCCCCCCACGAAATCCCCCAATCGAACTTGAAGACCGAAATTGAATTTTTTTGGGGTTTTTAGGGTTCGAATTTGTATGCTTTTGAGTTGATTTTGTGCTCGAAATGGGGGATTTTTGGTCGGAAACAATCAATTTTTCTGGGTTTAAGGCTTCGAATTTCTTAAGGTTTTTGGTCTAAATTTTTGCTCGAAATTGCTCGGATTTGCAGCCGATTATGGGTCTTCGACTTCACTGCGATTTTAGATGTTAAATTTGCTGGGGAAACGCAATTTTTTGGCCGTATTTGTTGGATTTCAGAGACAAATTTGTGGGTGTTTTGCTGTAGAAATTCGCTGGAATTTAAGAACTCTTGTTTTTTTTTCTTTTTGTATAGTGAATGTAGGTACCTGATGAAAAACTAAGGTAAAAAAACGCAGAAAAACCTAAAGCCAAAAGAGTTATTTGCGTCACTTTATTATAAAAAAGCGACGCAAATAACCTTGTTTATAATGTTGTACAATGTACATATGCGTCGCTCATTAGTAAAAGAGTGACGCAATTTACTTAATCACTTATTTGCGTCGCTTGCTAACTAATGTGTGACGCAAATAAGTTTATTAATTGCGTCGCTTTAATAAATAGGAGCGACACAAATGATAGAAAGCTGAAATGCACTTGAGTTTTGCGTCGCTTCTTAAATAATATGCGACGCAAATAATTTAAAAGGAAGGTAAAAATAAACATTTGCTTCGCTCCTTAGAATGAGTGACGCAAATATGGCGACGCAAATGTACATTTTTCTACTAGTGCTAATTACCTTTGACGCGTGCTTCGCTCCAAAATGAGCTCTTACTTGAAAGCTTCAAGTCCCGCTCACACGGAGACCTCCAACGAAGTCCACCCGCACCAACAAAACCGACTAGGTCCAATGTCTTGGGGTTAGAAAGACCCGACCAATAAAACCCGAGTAATTATATTGAGTTCAAAGGTTTTCACTAATTGTGATGCCTTTTTCAACTCTTACTCAAGCGTCATTCTAAATGCCCATACTTGGGTATTTATAGGAAATGATGGGAGTATCATTTACTCTCCCATCAATGTGGGATAGTATGATTTTTCCATTTTATTTTAAAGCTAAAATAAAATTAATAATCAAGCTAGTAATAAATCAACAAGTGGCAAGCTCATGTGAGTGGTTAGGTGAGGACCACTTGGAGAAGGGGGGGACCAAACTTGCTCCCCACTCCCTCTCCCATAATCGGCCACCTCACTCCACACACACTCAAGGACCACTAGCCACATGGCACCCACCCTTGGGCACCAAGGCAGCCAAGGTGGGCTGCCATGTGCTGCTGTCCGTGGCAGCCACGCCCAGCAAGCCCAGCAGGCCTAGGACTCGCATGCGTGCTGCCAGGCGCTGCTGGCCAGCAAGCCCAACATGCTTGTGCGGGCTGCTGCTGGCCTTGTGCCTTGGCCAGCGCTTCTAGGCAGCAAGCAATGGCCTAGCCATGCTGCTGCTAGCTGTGGCGAGCTGGCACGCCTAGCGTGCTAGCTGCTGCAGCTTGTTGCGGCATGGCTTGCTAGCCATTGCGCGCACAAGGCTGTGCCTAGCATGCTAGCACACACTAGGCAGCGCCTAACCTTGCAATGGTAGCATGGGTGCGCTAGCACGCACCAGCCAGCCTACGCTCGGCTTGGTGCGCATGCTAGCCACCATGCTAGGACATACGCCCTTAGCACTCGGTTTGCTTGGGCATTCCGATGTTAGGGGTATTTTGGTCTTTTGTTGATTTATTACTATTTCTCGTCTCGTCTTTCACTATTTTTCGACTCGACTTCCGACGCTCGGTTTCGACGCTCTAAGCTCGAATTTCCGACGTCTAAATAAATATTACTCGGTCGACTCATTAATTCCTTCCGAATTAATTCGTCGGTTCGGTTTGTTGAATGCTTGGGTGTGACCCAAAGGGGTCAGTCAAGATTAAGCTGTAATATTAATTATTCATTAATATTACTAATCGGAAGCGGCCTCCACCCAGGCATTCCGATCACTTGACCTCACTGAATATATTAGCTTTCTAATAATTCTGAACCCACTAACGGAATAGTACACTTGTTCGAAGGACACCATTCCTTTCAATCTCCCACTTGTCCTTCCGGACAAGTGCGCATTTTGTGTACAACCTTTTTCCTATGTCGCTTAATGTCTCTTCATGAACTATAAGGTAAGATTTATTTTGTCATCCTTATTACGTCCAGAAGTGTTTCCCGATTCCGAGTCCGACTGTCAATAAACAGATGATTTCTAAAATCCATCCGAGCACGACCATTCATTTTACAGTCTCGCTCTACGAGAGGCCTTGTATACAACAAAGACATCTTCCCTATTTTAGTAGGGGGACATTCCCAGTCTTGTAATTTAGCTCCTCTTACTGAGAGGACCTAGTCGCCCGAGTGTTGCCGTTATAATCCCCTATTACGGCAGACGTTTGACAACATCAAAGCGAACTAGTACTCAAACAAGAGAACTCACAATACTCATGGTCGAGGAAATAGGTTCCGATAGCCATAATGAGAAGTATACTTATGACAAATTTTTTTTAATTTCTTAAGTATTCTCATAGGTCGATCCAGTATGGTTCTAAACCAATACCTGTGCAAATGATTTATGACAATCATGTCCTTGTAGCACATGAAACGGTGCTATAAATAAAACTACACACTAATCTCAATCGGTCATTAATCGTCCATCGTTTAAATAACCTTGATTAGGGATAATTTTCGATTATAATATTCAATGTTCACTTAATAGGTGTTTCCTTACCAAGACTGGTCTTGATACCTTATTTTGAATATTCTCAGAATCGAATGGACTCATTATTTAATCCTAAACCACAATTAAATAGCATAACGGAGTAATAAAATATTGCATGAAATTTTATATAACTCCAAAACTTGAATGGTTTTCCTTAGCGTCTTACATTAATTTTTCTCAAAATTAACTAAAACACTAAACAAGGAAATCAAAGCCAGTATCCTATATGCTTGATTCCCATTGCTTCAACGTGCTTGTTGTGCTTCACTTGAGGCAAAGGTTTAGTAAGTGGATCGGCTACATTGTCATCCGTTCCAACTTTGCAAATTCTGATTTCACCCTCTGATTTCCATTCTCAAATCATGTGAAATCGCCGCTTGACATGTTTGACCTTCTGATGTTCCCTAGGCTCTCTGGCCTGAGCAATAGCTCCATTTTTGTCACAATAGAGGGCTATTGGACCCTTTATAGAGGGTACAACATCAAGTTCACCAACGAACTTACGAATCCAAACAACCTCCTTAGCTGCTTCAGCAGCTGCTAAGTATTCGGCTTCAGTTGTAGAATCTGCAGTTGTACTCTGCTTTGCGCTCTTCCAACTAAATGCCCCTCCATTTAGACAGAACACATATCCAGATTGCGATTTGAAATCGTCTCTGTCTGTCTGGAAGCTTGCGTCGGTATAACCTTCCACAACTAAATCCTCTGCATCACCATACACCAGGAATTTATCCTTGTTCCTTTTCAGGTACTTTAGGATATTTTTGGCCGCAGTCCAATGCGCCTCTCCTGGGTCTGATTGGTAACGGCTCGTAGCACTTAAGGCATACGATACATCTGGCCTAGTACATATCATGGCATACATGATCGATCCAATAAGCGAAGCATATGGAATCTGATTCATTCTTACCCGCTCATCAGGTGTCTGTGGACACTGCTTCTTGCTTAGGGTTATGCCATGTGACATGGGCAGGTGACCTCTCTTGGCCTCCTCCATGCCAAATCGAGCAAGTACCTTATCAATATAAGTACTCTGACTCAATCCAATCATCCTTTTCGATCTATCCCTATAGATCTTGATGCCTAGTATGTACAGAGCTTCTCCCAAGTCTGTCATTGAGAAGCACTTTCCAAGCCAGGCCTTTACATACTCTAACAACGGAATGTTGTTTCCAATGAGCAATATGTCATCGACATATAAGACTAGGAAGGCGATGTCACTCCCACTGTCCTTCTTGTAAACACAAGATTCATCTGGATTCTTGATAAAACCAAACTTACTGATGGCTTCATCGAATCGCAGATTCCAACTTCTGCTTGCTTGCTTTAATCCATAAATGGACTTCTTAAGCTTACAAACTTTCCTAGCATTGTTTTGGTCGACAAAACCTTCAGGCTGTGTCATATACACAATTTCTTCCAAATAACCATTAAGGAAGGAGGTTTTGACGTCCATCTGCCATATTTCATAATTGTAATATGCAGCAATCGCTAGGAGGATCCAAACGGATTTAAGCATTGCGACTGGTGAAAATGTTTCATCGTAATCAATACCATGAACTTGTCTGTAACCTTTTGCCACCAATCTAGCTTTGTAAATGAATACATTTCCATCTTTGTCGGTTTTCAACTTGAAAATCGACTTACATCCAATAGGTGTATAACCTTCGGGTAAGTCAACCAAGTCCCAGACTTGATTTTCAAACTGGAATCCATTTTAGATCTCATGGCCTCTTGCCATTTAGCAGAGTCGGTGCTTGCCATCGCTTGCTTGTAGGTTGCCGGTTCATCTCCATCCATAATCAGGATGTCCTGATTCTCGGTTAATACTAAACCAAGATATCTATGAGGTTGAGATCTCGGCCTCTGAGACCTACGTAGGGTAATGGATTGAGCATTTGCATTGTCGGTTCGACTTTGCACATTTTGATCATTTTGACCTGCGTCAACAGATGCTGTTTGAACACTTTGACTGTCATTATGATTTTGTTGCTCATCCTCACGAACTTCGTCGAGTTCGATTTCCTTCCCACTTGTCATTTTGGAAAGGTGATCCTTCTCCAAAAAGACACCATCGTGAGCAACAAACACTTTGTTCTCCGATTTGTTGTAGAAGTAATACCCTTTGGTTTATTTTGGGTAGCCCACAAAGTAAACCTTGTCAGATTTGGGATGAAATTTGTCAGAAATCAATTTCTTGACATATGCTTCGCATCCCCATATCTTTAGAAAAGATAACCTAGGAGGTTTCTTCGTCCATAATTCATATGGAGTCTTTTCTACAGCTTTTGATGGAGCACGGTTCAGTGTTAGTGCCGCAGTTAGAAGTGCGTGTCCCCAGAAAGAGATAGGAAGATCACTAAGACCCATTGTTGATCGTACCATGTCTAACAAGGTTCGATTTCTCCTTTCGGATACTCCGTTCCATTGTGGAGTTCCTGGAGGTGTCAATTCTGAAAGTATACCCTTTTCTTTCAGATGGTCATCGAATTCTTGGCTCAAGTATTCACCACCTCGATCCGATCGAAGGGCTTTGATTTTCTTGCCAAGCTGATTTTCAACTTCACTCTGATAACCAAATTTTACAGCCTAGTGTGCTCAATCTAAACTCATGGGTTAAATGCTTCTACATTACTGAGGTTGCAAGGGATCCTATCACTGTGAAGGTTTCGGGAGCATTGGACACTCACTTAGTCGGTTTGTTTCACAAATGGGAAGAAG